ACGGTCAACCGAACAAAAGCCAAAGCTAAATCCTCTTCCCTTCGCTCCTTCCCCGACTCCACTCCAGAGCAATGCCACGACCCGGTCGAGAGCCTTCCATGCGGATTCCTTCAAAGAGAAAGAGAGTGTGTATTCCCGGCATCAATGCAAAAACTTCCCGGTCCGGGAACAAGAGCAATTCTTGGTCCCACCAAACCATGCCATGAACAGTACAACAAGAGCAGGGGATATTGAAACTAAGACTCATTCCGTCTATTGCTCTACCTTCCTCCTACAGATTAAATTGCATCGTTTATTCCTATTCCGGCAGGCAAAACTAGCTGCTGACTCAACCTCCCCTCGGGTCTACGCCCTCGATGTTTTAACATCGGCAATTGAAAGAGAGTAGGAGCGCATTCTCTCCATCTCAGTTGGAAAGTCTATCGCTCTCAGCAGCAGTTCCTTGGTCATACCCTCGGTGATGACTAGCAGTCCTTCCTGATTGAGTTCTCAACCTCTATTGATAGATCAAGAGTTCCGGCCCGGCTATGATTCCATCAACAAACCCGATTCGGTATAAAAGCTTAGCTTCTATTACAATAAAATATTTTGAAAAGAGCTATCCTAAAGCTTGACAGGTCTCCTCAGTTTTTCACTCGAAAACCGAAAGCATAAGGATGAGCCTTGGGCCCCCTTTCCCAAGAACAGAAGGAGCGTTTAGATACTGTACCTTTAGGTGCGTGCAGGAGTAAGGACGAAAGGAGAACAAGTCGCAGGAGAAGCGTTGAAGAAGCAGTAGTTTAAGCCATTGATCCTGCAGCTTAGCTTCTAAAAAAAATAAGCACCAGCAAACAGAGGTAGATACAGAGCCATAGGCAAACCTTCATGATCGATAGCCTTTTATGAAAACGACCCTCGTGCTCGAGAGGCGGATCCAAAGGCAGTCGCTTACCTAGGAGCATACTTCGGTGTAGCATAGCGGCATACCCCTTTGACCTAGGTGGAAAAGAGATATATTGAAACCCACCATAAGTCTCTGGGGAGACAGCTGCGGATACTTATTTACCATAAGCAAAAGCGGCTACTGAGGCGAAGGCAAATAAGGTTCCGTTCCATGGAAGGAAAAAGAAATGGAAATAAAAATAAGAAAAGGTCTGATCAAATATTTTGCTTTCTTGTTGTCTTGAATTGTTATAGAACGGCTATTTATATAAGGTATAGTTGGTAGGATGAAGTGGGATGTGAAGCCTTAGTGGATATAGCAAGTGTGCCGGGGATGCGGCTCGGGCATAGTAGGTCTGGACGCCTAGCATGAAACAGCCTTCTCTGGTAGCGGCACTATACCTTAGTATAGTCTCTCTCTAGCTTCCAGTCTATATAAAAAAACTTAGTTAGCAGAGGTCAGTCTGTCTGGCGTTCCCTCGCGTAAAGGGCTGGCTACTTTGGCATCGGCTCTCTCTCGTTAGGTAATTACCGAGGCGAAAGCAGCTCTCTCGGAAGTTAGTTTCCCCGCCATCTTAGTGGGACTAGTCTAATAAACTTTCACTTCAACTTCCTGACTCTAACAAGTAAGCAAGTAAACTACCAAGACTCGGATTTTTTTTTGTGGTAACGCCCTTCTAGAATTATGTTTAACGTCCCTTTATGACTTTCCCGATCAGCGCCTCGGGTCTGTAGCCGGGCTCCGGGACATTACTACCACGACTACTATCGACCCGAGCCCAAAGAAGGAAAAGAACGGACTAAAGCGAGGAGTTCATTGGCCATACATAGTGAAGGGGGATGAGGGTCAACCTCTTTCATGACCCATGGCCCCAGTGTGTAACTTGGTTAGCATTTCTAGAACAAATTTAGTAGGGTTGGTTTTTCGATAGGGAAACAGGGGAGTTAGTTGGCTGTAGTTGAGACACGTTTTTCAGGTGGACGATATGGATTTATTCGAGATGGTTAACAACTTTTTTCACCGTGAGAGGGAGGTCATTCAGAACCCGCAGGCTCCAGTCCAGAACCGGTGGAAGTTCCCCACGCCGATCCCCCAACGTGAGGGACTTCGAAGTGCTATTCATTGATTCTTGAGCAAGTTCGGGAATATTGTGAGAAGGGGAAAGGGCGGCTTTCCGTTCACTTTCCGGAAATGGAAGAAATCTATTCCAGTGTCGCAGAGAACATTATGTCTCGCGATCTGAAAATATCTGCGGAGATTTATATTGAAACCCTCCGCGGATGGGTGGAGGAGATAAAGGAGAACCCTAATCCCCTAAAATCCCTCATTAGGGAACACCTGTAAGATGAGTCTGCCGCTTTCTTTCATAACAGAGCCGACGGCTGGCATAGAAGTCTCTCGCACGCAAGGAGATGCATTTCTGGTACAGGTAGTACTGGACAAGCTCTTAGGGAATAATATCTTTCTTATTTCTTCCTTTTTTCCCATGACGACTAGGAACGGGCAAATAAAAAATTTCACTTCGAATTTCGGACCTCAACATCCTGCTGCTCATGGTGTTTCACGATCAGTATTGGAAATGAACGGAGAAGTGGTGGAACGTGCGGAACCACATATTGGATCACTCCAGTGCGGCACGAAGCCGCTGACGCCGAGTCGGCTCCTATGCCGCTAGCTATGCCCTGCTTGGTCCCCCGGCACGGTGGAGGTCCCGTAGCGCGTCACGAGCACCGGGCTAAGGGGCGGTTGAGCAACTCAAGCGAACCGCCCTACCTTACTACAATATAAGGACAGAAGGGAGAAGGTTGTGAAGGTGGCCTCGTTATCCACACCTCCGGTCAGATGAATGGAGGACCGACCCACCCGGGTTTTCATGAGCGTTGGCGGGTCCTGGAGTGCCTGTCAAGGGCGCTAGCGCATACCCCGGGGTGATCATCACCACCTGCACCTCACATCTCGGCACAGCGGAACGTGTAACCCGCCTGCTGTCTCATTCAACTACATTTGTTCCTGTAATCCATAGCCTAACAGAATGCAGCAGCGAGGGACAACCCGCCCATACAGCCAGCGGGGAGGATGGCACTACTGGCAAAGACCGTCCGGCGAAAACGCCGCAGGCGCGAAGCGTGGTAGGCCTGTGCCGGGGGAGCATAGCATAGGTAGGAAAGGGAGCCAGGACGGTGGAAGAGCCAGGGGGGCCGGGTCATTTGACGGAAATGGAAGGCTTTTCCCCTATTAGAGAAGCCCCTCTGAAGTCAAGGGGAAGTGCATTAATTCTTGGAAAAAGAGGGAGCAAGCCTATCAAAAAAATGAATGAAAGTAAATTCAATGAATAGATAGAGTCAACGGTACGACAGACAGCGCAGCCTACACGCGAATTAGCTTCCGAGGTCGAGCAGTCTCAATTTCACTACAGGATTTGCGAGTGAATGCTGGGCTGGGCCACCTCGAATGGCGTGAGCCGCATGCGGGGAGACCCGCACGTACGGTTTTTAGGGGGATCTGGTCGAAAGACCGGCCGGCGCCCACCCGACTAGAGGGACTGAGAAATTAATAGAGTACAAAACTTATCTTCAAGCTTTACCTTATTCTGATCGTTTAGAGGGCGATCGCGGAGTCACTGAATGGAGTCCTCCGTTTCTTTCGGAGGTGCTGACCCGCAGCGAGGCAGAGATGACTAAGTGACATATTGAATATGGCGACGACAACAGCATGTCGTAGAAGGAGATAACAGGTGGAACCAACGATCCGCTAAGACTAACGTATCTACAACTCCATCCCCGAGCGACAGTCAAACGGAGGCGTGAATGCAAGATGCCAGCGGAATGATCGGCCGGACAGAGGCTAGGGCTGCTTCCTTCCCACCGCGTCCTTCCTTGTGTGTCGGAGATATAAAGCGAGTGCACCGGAAAAGAACAGGAACTGGGTCGATCTATTCTATGGCGAAGCATCCGAAGCATAACTGCACACTCACACGATCTTTGCCGATAGATAGGAGCATTCGGTGGAACCGGTGAACTACACTTGCTTCTGGATAGATGTGTGGGACAGAGGGCTCGTGGTACCTGCTGCCCACCTTTCCTCCTCTGCTTTGATAACCGTGTGAACAGAGAGTGGGCAGAAGGGAAGGAGGTCCTCATACGGAGTCGCACACTTACTTGAGCAGTGCGGAAGACTGGGGAATGGGTTGAGTAAACTCCCCTGGGGCCGGGAAAATAACAGACGAAGCTTTACTTAGATAGGGCTTTGATTGGTTTTTTTTCTTAGTGATTGGAAAGGAGGGCGCCTGGGTATGTTACAAAAAGGGAAGGCAGAGGTAGTACTTCGAATGGCGAAACGAAGGGCTAAATAGCGCCAGTGATTCTCTGAGCCGGTCTGGATTTTCAACGCCTCGGGAAACTGGTCGAGATAGATGACAACACCCTTTTCCTCTCTTCCTTACCGGGAGGGCAATCTTATCTTATGGCCTTCACCTCCCGCCCGGCCCGGAAATAGAACTCAGCCCCCCCTCTGATCCATTCATTTCTGCAAGCAGGGGGGATCCTGAGCTAAGCCTCCCGTCTATTGCATAACCTAAAAAAGCTATAAGCAAAGTACCAAAGGTGCGCTCCGCCCGGTGACTCAGAAAGAAATGGTTTTGCGCTTTGAAGTGATGAGGTCGCAAAGAGGGAAGTAGGGCTCCTATTGAAAGGCTTTCCCTCCCTCAAAAGGCGACCAACTTTCAATACTGTTACGTTACGCTGCCATTTTTCCAATATCATTGAATAGCATGGCCTGCCTGGGGCTAAGGTCACTCAAGTGGGAGAGCCGTGTTATGGGTGACCTTATTGCACGGTTCAGAGAGCACTTGTGTATGTGATGCAAGTGAACGTGTACGAAAAAGCTGTATCTAGGGTGAGTTCTTCGTTCCGTCGTCGACCCTATCTATGTTTCTACGATGGCCCAAGAACACGCTCATTCTTCAGCCGTAGAGAGACTTTTGAATTGCGAGGTACCATTACGAGCTCAATATATACGAGTGTTATTCCGTGAAATAACTCGAATTTCAAATCATTCACTTGCTTTAACTACTCATGCTATGGATGTGGGAGCATCAACTCCGTCCCTGTGGGCTTTTGAGGAGCGGGAGAAATTGTTGGAATTCTATGAAAGAGTCTCGGGAGCCAGGATGCATGCCAGTTTCATACGACCAGGTGGAGTGGCACAAGATCTGCCTCTTGGCTTATGTCGAGATATTGATTCCTTCACACAACAATTTGCTTCTCGTATCGACGAATTAGAAGAGATGTCAACCGGCAACCGTATCTGGAAACAACGATTAGTGGATATTGGTATTGTCACTGCACAGCAAGCAAAGGATTGGGGATTCAGTGGTGTAATGTTAAGAGGTCGTGCGACATGAAGACATTGATAGCAATATGGGGGGAGTTCCCATCAGGCAACAACGGTTCTGCCTGACCCTACTTAAGCATGCATATTCTGTCAGTGAAGACTTGGTGTGAAGCCTTGGAGCTTACGTTAGAAGAGCAAAAGGCCCGGGGCTAGGGTGAGCTGAGGGGGGACAGCGTAAGTGAGCGAATGTGTGTAAGCCCAGTCAAACATGACTGTTCTAGGCGGGGCGGGCCACCCACCTTCGAATGGTGTTGGTCCTACGGACCGTGAATGGATTCGCCTCTGGCCTCGGGGAACGTCGGAACCGCATGAGTTCACCGGGGTGGAGCACAGTCCGCCAAAATCGGCATAGGTTAGGTGCTATTGATGGAACATGGTAAGCCTATCTTTCTCCATATGGAAGTGCTGCGGGCACATAGAGATGTGGGTAGAGGAAGTCTCAAAAAGCGAAGGCCGAGCTGTAGGTCACGTGACCTGCACCGAGTTGGTGGCTGACTGGGCTTTTTCCTTGATCAAAGCAGATCAGCTCGCCGCCTTCTTGTTATCAAAAAGTCGGTCGAATCGGGCGGAACGTCGAATGAAATAGGTAGCCGGGTTCTCTTTTTACAACCCTTTTGCCCCCCCTATCCCTTATGTTTAGGAGCGGGATCCGCCCAAGAACGACCATTCCTGTGGTGGTACGGAAGGCACGGACTCCGCGAACGTCCCGCGCCCCCAAGACTAATAAAGGAAAGAAAGCCTCAACCAGAACCACATTCCTTTTGCGTGCGGATTTAGCTAAGTGTCTGACTGGTCATAGTTCCCTGCTGTTGCGGCCAGTGCTCGTTTGCGCGCAACCCAACAAATAAGGAAAGGATGCCTCTCGGGGCATCTGAGAATGATTCGAGCCGTATGAAGGGAAACTCTCACGTACAGTTTGTCTTTTTTGGGGGGGGAGGAGCCCGACAGGGTCCCCCCACTGACTTGGCCCAGGCCTAAGTGAAAGTGAAGTGGTGGGCCTACCCATCCCAACCAGGGGTATGCTGGGATTCGCGAAGAGCAGCACCTTACGATGTTCATGACCAATCGGATCCTGACGTACCAGTAGGTACCAGAGGAGATCGCTATGATCGTTACTGTATCCGTATTGAAGAGATGCGACAAAGTCTGCGGATAATTTTCCAATGTCCTAATAAAATGCCTAGTGGCATGATCAAAGCCGATGATCGTAAGTTATGTCCTCCATCACGATGTCGAATGAAACTATCCATGGAATCGTGCGTCGTGTGAAACGTAGATCATCGCCGTTCTTAACCGAGACTCAGGTTAAGCTCCGTCTCGGAACCTAGTGGGGTTAGGAGTAAAGCATCCCGAGGTTGGCGCATCTCGTTGGGCGTGGAGAAGCATTGGGAATCTCCATTTCTTTCTTCGGAGCCGTTTCTTTTCCCGTCCCCCCGCCCCGGCATAGCGCTTCGCTTCCGGTTCTTCGGAAGAATCAACTGACTTCTCCCTTCTTCATTGATCTGGGGGAAAAGGAACCGTCTACTAGTTGGCAAGCTAGACATCAAGTAAGTGGCTTGATGAGGATAACTAAGCTGACACGCCGGAGTTGGCTGCTGGCACAACAGGGTGGTGCCTTACCGCACCGCAGGCGAACGCGCGGTAGCGTTCGTGGTGGTGCTTCAGGATTCCAATGTACTGCGTCCAAGATCAGAACGAGCTTGCCGGCGGACCACTGCCGTCCCATTCTTGAGTGAGCTGGAGCGCAACCATCTTATCCACTGAACTAGCTAGAAGCTATCGCTTCGGGTCAAAGCACTAAAAGAAAAGGACCGGGAAACGCGGCGGCATAGGAACCACGGGACCCCCTACTAGTAAAGGGAAAACGGAAGTGCGCGTTAGCGCACCAGCTGAAAAAGCCCATTCCCCTGACTCTAACTTCACCCCTCTCCAACCAGTCGAGTGGCATTAGCCCCTCTCCCAGCAAGAGGATGCGCGAACCTCCAAGTCAAGCGCGCTAGCGCGCTTTACTAAGGCTTTCTCTGATAGGGGCTCGAACGCCGTTGCTTGTTTGGGTCGAGCGTCAACCTTAGCGCATCCGTTTTCTTGCTCCTTAGCACAAGCACTAAGTAAGCCCGTGAAGGAAAGGCCTTTTCATACATCATAATAAGGTAAGCTTCATAGCTCCAACCTAGACAAGGCCTTTTTTTTACCTTTTTTTAGATTGGGTTGCTGGATACGGGATCCTCGTAGTAGGCTGGACCAACATCCAGCCGAGAGAGGGCAGCCTTTAGAAGCAACAAGTTGGGAAACCAATAGAACGCTTCGCGTTTTCTTATCTTCTTCCCGCCCTAGGAGTAGCACAAAAAGAGGGATTAGCATTATTGACCCAATGATAAACCACTAACACCCTCCTCGTTGGGTCTCCGCGCACTGGGAAAAGGCTCTAGCGATGGCAAAGCGGCCACTACTAACAAAGCTCCAATAAGGTATCGATCGAGAGGGCTATCACAGTCAGGTGCGAAGCAATTACCCCTTTTTGTAAAGTACCCCTCTTCCTATTTAGTTTAGGGGGTTGAGGCGAGAAATGGCTTGATGAACCGTTCCGTTCGCCATGCACCGGCCCCATTCACTTGCTTATCGTAGAGGCTGTAAGTACACAGTGCCCCACAACAATTAAAAGTATAGTGATAGTAGGGTTGAAGCACAAGAGTGCTCGCCCTTTCTTTCATTTCAAGTAGGCCACTTTTTCCGGAACGCAGTCCGGGATAACCGTGACCGTATAATAATATATAAATCTTCGATGCTGTCATTTCGAAATGTCCGCTTCAACCGCAGCGCAGTTTAACCTCCCAAAAAGCAAAGTTGGCTTGACGAGCGCAGATGCGAGGAAGCGGGAGCAATTAAACAAAAAATATCTTTCTTGTACTTCTACTTAAGGGGAAAAGAGAAGCGCTTTTGCTACTGAGAAAGCGAACGCGCGAAGGTTCAAGACTTAGCCGAGCGTTAGCGAAGCTAGATTCTCATAGCGAGGCGCTACTACAGCGCTTCGCTAACTCGAAGCGCCGTAGTAGCGCCGAAGCCCTATGTGCTATAATGCTGAGCCAAGGACGCTCCGCCTTATCTATATAAGCAGTCAACTGAGTTCTGAACGAATTAGCTCCTTGGTAATGGCTCAATCTATAGATAGAAATCCCTATGATGGGAAACTATCACGTTAGGTTTGGAGAGAGATCGGACCTATTAGATTAACGAATAGGGAGAGCAGATGCAAGCTTTTTCTTTCAATAGCCGGCCAAATGACTACAGGATCATCGGTCTACTCTACCTCAATTCACCATTTCGAACTTTATACAGAAGGTTTTTTCGTACCAGCTCCTTCTACCTATACCTCAGTTGAAGCACCTAAAGGAGAATTTGGTGTCTTTCTGGTCAGTAATGGAAGCAATCGTCCCTACCATCGTAAAATAAGAGCACCTGGCTCTGCCCATTCACAAGGACTCGATTCTATGTCCAAACATCACATGCCAGCAGATGTGGTCACCATCATAGGTACTCAAGATATTGTGTCTGGAGAGGTGGATAGATAGGACTGCTAGTTGCTCGATCAGGACCCTAGCTTTATTGCGAGCCAAAAACCTTGATGGATTCCCCTTCCTCTTCTATCCTCAGTACTAGAGAGAAACGAATTCCATACGCCCGATCGAAGTTTTTTTTTCTGTTGTTGGTGTTGGAATTTCATGAACGCGGAGCCAAAACGCGAACGAGTTCAGTCGAACAGCGTGCGTATATAGTAATTTGAAGTTGGAAGAGCCTGGTGTTTCCTGACGTACTGGAGGGAGTTATAATATAACATTTGAATTTCTAAAAAATTAATTTCCAATTTCCAATATGTTGGAAACAATAGCGCATTGGGTCAGATTTTTTACAGAGAACAACAAGGTGTTTTATTTTTTTGTGGTTCTCCTTTGTATCCAAGGGCTCTTCCTCATCTATCTTATTCTAGCCTTGTTTATCCATCGAAAGGATTGCTATATCTATGGGGGTTGATGTTATATTCCAATATTCTTGGGGAGGAGTTGAACTCAAGATCAGTCACCCGACTGACCGTTCTAAGATACCTCCTACTCAGGGAAACCAGCCCCCGTCCCCGCCTTTAGGAGATTGAGCAGGTAAAGTGAACCTGTACCCCGGACGTACTCATGGGCAGCGTGAGGAACCGGGTTTAAAATAAAAAGTTACGATCAGAAGTCAATTTGAAGTCCATGTAGGTGCGGGCCAGACCGGTGTCCATCCCGACCACGGGATGTTGGGCTTCAACTTCCCTTTGGCCTTTAGTATAGAAAAAAGGTGCTTGAATTGAAAGCTTCGTACTACGGACTAACTTAGCAATGAATTTCTCATCCAAGGGGTCAAGCCCTTACATAATAGTCAGTGGGAAATCGGTAGCCTTTTCTTCAACTCTGAAGAAATGAGTAATGCTTCCTGCGAAAGAAGAGGATCACTTGCTTACATACGTGATTATGCAGCTGGCCCATTAGTGGGTTCAATTCCTGCTTGCCTTTCATTTTGAATTGAAAGAGTAGTCTCGAGCCGCGCTCTTCTGCCATGCGAAGGGAAGATCGGATTGAACGGCTAGCGAACTCCGGCAAGAAAACGACGAAATAGCTCATAGCCCGGGTTACTTATCTTACTTATTATTTATGGGATCCCCCTTGGCCCCCTTTGGTCTGAAATAGCCGTACGCACTCTGGAGGTAGAGCCCAAGAATCCTATCTTTTTTGTTGAGTGGAAGTAGGAATGGAGTGGCTCATGCCAGACCGGAGAGATCATACTTATCGGCTACCTCAATCGCAAATCGGGCATCCCTATGATATATTCAGCCAGCTTGTTAGCTCAGCCTCTTGCAGACCCTCGGGACTCGACATTCTTATAGGATTCCATTTCGTCTCCACAAGTTAGCCTGTCTGCCTGCAAGGCCCAATCGAAGCAGATTGTCCCCGACCTTAAGGGTTCCGGATAACGCCCCTTCACTTGTAGTTTCGCTACTCTAGGACATCAACACCAACTCAGGCTCCAGCCCTAACTTCAGCTTTAGATGAAACTTATAATTAGGCTTCAGCTCCAGCTCTAGATTAGGCTTAAAGCATAGAATTAGGCACCAGCCTCGGCCTAGGCATCGGCTTCCTTCTTCGTAGTCTTCTTCTTCCCTCGGATCCGGCATAGCCTTCTTCAGATTATTCATCCTTGTCTTCGTCTCTGTCTACCAGATCGGATCCAATAAAAGTTGTTCGTCCCCCTTCTCGACGTTCCCGGAGGGTGGCTCTTCACTTGGTGTTCACTATTCTAGGGTCTTGGCACTAACAATGGCACAGACTTTCACTTCGACTTAGTCCTCAGCTCGTGAATCTGGCTATCTAAATATATTCGGATTCCTTTCTGATGCACCTTATGTTTCCAAAAGGTAAGACTTTCCCCTTCCTTTCTAGGTACGTGGGTGTTAGCCTGCCGGATATAACTCAATCGATGCGGTTCGTCCCCTTCCTCCAGCCAGCCCTTCCAGCGCTTCTGGATGACCCTTCGTACCCGTATTCAGAATTATACCTCCGCAGATCTCCCCTCCTTCTCCGAAAGCTTTACGAATCAGACAGGGAAATTCCTGACTTTCACTTCAGAATCTGGTACTTCACCTGGGGTTAGGCTTTTCAACTGGGCCAAGGGGAGAATGAAAACTTGAACTTCGGAAGGAGGAATGGCAAGTAGATTTCCCACTGCAGCAGTTTCCGAATCAGGGATGTTAAATTACTTTTGTCTCAGAATTAGACCCATTTGTTACCCTTTTTGGAATAGTTGGGGCAGAAATGTAATAAATAATAGGCTGCTCGATCTGCTGTTCCGGCAAGCAGCCCTTTCGCTCGTTCCCTTGGGGCTTTTGGGGGCCAACCTGTTCCATATGAGCAGCAGGAGCATAAGCCCCCCGTGTTCGCAAACTCTCATGTAAGGGACCTACTTTCCTTCACACTATACCTTCCGGAGTGCTTATGGAATATCCTGTTGAGTGGGTTTGATGCTAATAAAACAGGAAGGAGCCCAGCAGCTCCCCTTTTTCGGGATAAAGTAACGAAATATGGTAGGAATAGATCTATATATGTATAAAAAAGAAGTGAAAACGAAAGAGTTGGTGTCGCACGTACTGATAACTCTATCCCGCGCTGAAAGCGAGAGGGACGGACAAAACTATGCTTCACCCACTTTAGTCTTTAGTGGTTGAACAGCTGAAAGCTAACTTC